TATAAAATGAGCACCCATAAAATCCACAGTAGTATCTCTTGGTGTGGTTACGGCTCTCCCCATACTCCATATAGAGTCTTTAGAAACAAATAAAAATAACTAGTGTGATTAAAGTTTTTCTTCCAGTAATATTCAAGCAAGAACTAAAGGATCATTCTTCTATTAGGTTGGTGCAAAAAGAATGACGTAATAATGTCGTTTTTTGACGTTAAAAAATACGTCAAAAAACGACATTATTACGTCATTATTTTTGCACCAACCTAATATTTACATGTTTTTTTTTACCCAATTCATATAACCAGTTCACAGGCAAATATTAGGTTGGTGCAAAAATAATGACGTAATAATGTCGTTTATTGACGTATTTTTAACGTCAAAAACGACATTATTACGTCATTATTTTTGCACCAACCTAATATTTACATGTTTTTTTTACCCAATTCATATAACTAGTTCACAGGCAAATATTAGGTTGGTGCAAAAATAATGACGTAATAATGTCGTTTATTGACGTATTTTTTAACGTCAAAAAACGACATTATTACGTCATTATTTTTGCACCAACATAATATTAAGTTATTTATTTGTAAATGGTTGGTAAAGAACATAAGCAATTCATAATGTATTTCTTATGATTATAGATTATAAATTTCAATACTGAATTACCAAGATTCATAGATACATTAGCCGATCAGAAATTAAACTTTCAGGAAAAAAATAACTCCTCTTAGATGATTTTGGTTATTGCAGTTCAAAAGATAAACTTAAATCTTTCTTGAATTCCTTCCAGTCATATTGTTCCTTTAACGTTGAAACCGATGTTCATAATGTGTTTCAAGAGCAACTTTTAAATATATTTGGTAATTCAGAATTTCCAGAATCACTTGTACGTTTCAAATTTGAGAGGAATTTTCCTCTTCTAAATGTCCGAAGCCTTCATAAGATAATTTCGTTTTTTAAGTTACAAAATATTTTCAAAGCTGAAACTTTTTATCTTACATCTTTTGATAATTTTTCCAGCAGATTTTAGATCTTCCATTCTTGAATGTCATGAATAAATTATTCCAATGTTAGTCATTTATCCCTATCGGAAGTCATATAATGAATGCATTTGAGCAGTAATATCTAATTTATTCGTTGCTTTCTTACATCCCTCTTGCCTTCAGTATGTTCTCTGTGTGTGTCAGATTCTCCAAGCACTCTTTCCTCATTATGTGTCCTTGGAATTTCAACTGTTTTACCGATTCTAAGTGCACGTTTTGTTTCCATTTTCTCTAAAACTTCATCTTTGCCCATACGTATTTCTTATGATTGATAAGATAATGCCTTGTAACTGAGAATTCGCTGCCCAAACAGCACCTCCTCATTGCAATTGCCTGCCAAGTCTTCACTTTCTACTCTCGATAGAGTCCAAAATCGTCTTTGTTGGTAACGAATCATCTTCCACCCTGCAATCACTTTCCCGCAGACGAAACGTTGCAAGCCCCCCCCCTCTCTCTCTCTCTCTCTCTCTCTCTCTGCAGTATCGCTATTTCCATGGTAAGCGTCCAGGGGGACTACGTCGCTCAGGACCACCAGTTTTAATCTACACGGCAAAGACTCGCCATACCACGCACGTTGTAGCAAACAACCCTCATTTCCTTCGTATTTACTCGAGCAGATTCTTCCCACGAACCGCGGCGTTGTGGAACCGGCTCCCAAAATGATGATTTCCTGATTACTACAATCTTGGCCTGTTCAAGTGTAGGCCTGTTATTTTTCCCCACATGCCGAGTCCACTTTTAGCGCAAACGAACTGGCTCCTGTCCTCTCTAAACTGTACTGCTTCTTGCTCCCCAGCTTACTGGGAATGCTCTTCCACCTGATCTTTCCAACTAGCGTTTACCTCTTTTTGGCAAAAATTTAGATGCTCCGATCACTTCTGAAGTCTCTAAGTCAGTGGTTCTTAAACTTTTTGAAATTGGGGTGAACTTGAAATCCTACCAAAAATTGTAGGCGGGCCATATACAAATTTCGAATATTGCAGAAAAGAAATAATGTAATAAAAAAATATAAAATGAAACGTATCTTAAATTTATTCATTCTTGTGTTTATGAGAAACATGAACCTAGTGAGTCTTAGTGATTTCTTCAATGTTTGAGCGTATATTTGATAGGCAGACTTTCATTTTCTCCTTAATACATTGAAGAGTTCTTCCCTTTTTGCACTTAATTGTGGTGAGAGCAGAAAAAAGACTAATTCACGTAAATATGATATCGCAAACTGTAGTAAAATGGTTAGAGCTTTATTAGATATTGACGCATATTCTTCTTTTATAGAAATCTTAAAAACTTCATTATGTTTAATCATCAACCCACGATCAATGGATATGATAAAGTAACTAATTTATCAAATTTGCTTAGAAACAAATAAGTGATTAATTATAAATGATAAATGACTATGAAAGTATAAATAAGACAACTTTTAAATAAACAATCCTAATCGTCGTCATCATTTTATGTCAAATAATACATCTTTTAACAATCAACTTTCTTGAACTAGGCATGGAGTATCAACCAACAGCTCCTACCAGTTCAATACAGCAAAACAAAAGATTTCCCAGAGGGCAGGATGTGTGTGTGTGTGTGTGTGTGTGTGTGTGTGTGTGTGTGTGTGTGTGTGTGTGTGTAACGAATGCATGGCCGCAATTTTCGACGGATTTGCACCAAAATTTACATGCACATGCTCCAAGTTAGCGGAAAGGCCAAGACCGACTTTGCATTTCCCAACTCCCATCGATAGTGGAAATAATCTATTTTTTCGTGCTTCTACGGCAGTTTTCATGTAGTTTGCGGCCATTTTCTACTGACCAGAGTGAGAGCCTATAGCTGGCTGCCACGAATAGGCAGGAAGATTCTATTGGCCAGCATGAGAGCCAACAGCTGATTGACATGAATGTTAATTAGCATGCTAGCATGCAAAAAAAAAAAAAAAATCGATAGCTGCATTCGTCACAAGTGGGAAAAATTTAAATTTGCTTAAACTCAACGTTGATTCTGATTCCGCAGAACTGGGTTGGATGTGAAAAAGTATTTGTTGTTAACATACTTTTTTCATTCGGTTTTTCCAGTTACGAGTCCTTTTTTTAAAGCTGATCGTTTTATGTTCATTTTGTTTAGTTCTTTTTTTCGTAACAGATTTAATGTTTAGCATAGAGCT